AGCTGCTTAGTGAGAATCTCTCTTCTCATCCATCTGAACTTAAAACCTGCCACCCCTGCTCTTGGCCTTCCTGCTTCGTTCTCAGTCTAACATGTCAGACATCTTGTCTGTCTCCCCCAGCTAGGATGTAAAATCCCCGAGGACAGGGATTTTTTTTGTTGTCCCTTGGTTGAACTCCAGCATCTAGGACAGCGCCACACACCCAGGAGGTGCTCAGTAACTATATGTTGAATTTAAAAATTCATATACCGGCCTGGCGCCCTGCTAGGTTGTGGGAATGTAAACAAGACCTAGCTGCAGGCCCTCAGGGACTCACAATCCAATGAAGGAAGGGGAATAAGATAAGTAAACAATGCACCAAGGGGTGGGGGAAGGCGAAAGGGGGTGTTGTTTAATGGATACAGAGTTTCAGTTTTGCGAGGCCCAATGGTTCTGGAGATCTGTTGCACAACAATGTAAATATACCCAACACTACTGAACTGCACACTTAAAATAGTTAATGTAAGGTCGGAGGTACCAGAGGGCGGGGCGGGCCTCGCCTCAACAAGAGGGCTCCAACCCAGACCAGGCCGGAACTAAGACCCCAGCTGCAAAGCCAGCCAGTACCTGTTGCAGCGATTCTAGCAACCCTGTTCAGCCAATCGCCAGCACACGCAACAGCTGTCCCAACCAATGATTGCTTTCCCCAATCCCCCTCACAGCTTTCTCAACATGCCCTTTATAAACCCGTCGCCCATCTTGCTGGGCGCGACTTCTCCCGCCCACAGCTATAAGGACCGGTGAACCTCACCCGGGATTGCGCTAATAAATTTTTCTTGGCTCCTTTGTTGCCGTTTCGCCTGGTTTGGTTTCGTTTACCCTACAGTTAAGATGGTAAATGTTATGGTACATGTCTGGGTTTTGTTTTTGTTTTTTGTTTTTTTGAGTTGGAGTCTCACTGTCGCCCAGACTGGAATGCAGTGGCCGCTCCCAGCCACCGCAGCCTCGACCTGCTGGGCTCCGGCAATCCTTCCGCCTCAGCCTTCCAAGTAGCTGGAACTACAGGCGCACACCACCACGCCCGGCTAATTTTTTTGATTTATTGTAGAGATGAGGTCTCGCCTGCCCAGGCGGATCTCGAACCCGCAGGCTCAGGCAATCCACTCACCTCAGCCTCCCAAAGGCGCGGGATTACAGGCTGAGCCACTGAGCCCACCTTATTTTTGTTTTAACCACAATTAAAAATAAAAATTTGCCCGGCACAGAGGCTCAAACACCTGTAATCCCAGCACTTTGGGAGGCCGAGGCAGGAGGATTGCTGAGCCCAGGAGTTCGAGGCCTAGCCTGGACAACATAGTGAGTCCTCGTCTCTACAAAAAATTTTAAAAAGCATCCAGGTGCGTGGCAAATGCCTGTAGCGCCAGCTACTCAGAAGGTTGAGGCTAGAGGATCACTTAAGCCCAGGAATTTGAGGCTGCGGTGAGCCATGAATGCACCACTGCACTCCAGCCTTGGGCGACGGAGTGAGACCCTGACTCAAAAAACTAAATTAAAATAAAAAAAACAAACAACAGGCCGGGCTTGGTGGCTCAGCCTGTAATTCCAGCACTTTGGGCGGCCAAAGCGCGTGGATTGCCTGAGCCTGCGGGTTCGAGACCAGCCTGGGCAATTTGGCGAGCCCTCATCTCTACAATAAAATAAAAAATAGCTGGGCATGGTAACACGCGTCTGTAGTTCCGGCTACCCGGAAGGCTGAGGTAGAAGGATCACTGGAGCCCAGAAGGGTCGATGCTGGGGTGGCCATGAGCGTGCGAGGGAGTGAGACTCCAACTCAAAAATAAAATAAAATAACAAAAACAGTGCACCAAGGGCAGTACCTGAGCTGCCAGAGAGCACAGGGATACACCCAACCCAGGGGAGGCCAGCAGGGGGAGAAGGTGACATCGGAGAAAAGTCCTGACAGAGTCAGGTTCAGGGTTCAGCATGTGTGGTGCTCCATGCAGAGGGAACAGCACAGACAGAGTGCAAACAGGAGAGGGATGGGGCTGGAAAAGTGGCCGAGGCCTGGAGGGTGGAGAGCTTAGGCCTAGCGTGGAAGGCTACAGAAGGCATAGGACTTCTATTTAAGCAGGGCAATGTAGTGGCCAGATTTCTAGGGAAGTGTGGAGGCTGGGTTGGAGGAGCTAGAGGACAGGAGACCATCTGGGAGGCCACTGAGATGGCGGCAGCCTGAACTGGGTCAGGGCAGCGGCAACTGAGTGTGGATTCTAGGGATGCTTCCCAGGTGGGACGGCCAGGTTGTGGGGATTATTGCCTTGGCTGATCTCAGCAGCTTCTTTTTCTGGGGAAAGGGCCAGGTTATTGAAACCCTGGCCTCCGGAGCCCCTGAGGAAGGGGTTGGAGCTGGGTGAGGGCAGTCTTGATGTCATTCTTCAGCATCTCTGTGCTCCTCCCTCCTTCCCGGTGATTGGATCAGAAGGCTTGGGAGAGCTGGGCGTGGTGAGAACCAGCCTCCAGAGGCCTCAGTTCTCATGCCCTCAAGGGTCAGAACTAAGAGGGGCAGTTGTCAGCTCTGGGAACCCAGGAAGCCCAGCCCAGCCTGCCTGAGGGAAAGGCCCGGAGGGAAAGCCAGACCAGCCAGATCCCCCGAGGCTGCCAACCCTGAAGTTCTGATGTCTGAGCCTCCTACTTGCTGCCCCAAATGTTCTGCTAAGGCTGAAGACAGAACCCTCAGGGACCCAGTCCTGGGAGTCCAAGGACCGAATCCTGTTGTGGAGAAACTGGGACCTTCAGGCCATGGCAGCCACCTGCCACCTTCCCTTCCCTCGGCTGCCCCAGCCCCAACCACCGCTCTGCTCCTGAGCTCCGTCCCCTTTTCTGCCTCTCCTAGACCACCCCACAGACCTTTTGGGTTACAAACGTTTTGCCACGATGTTTTTAGCCACTGCTCATTTTATGTACCAACATCACACTATGTGCTTTGATTGGGTCTCCCAACTTCTACAAAGCAGGTACTGCTGGCTGGGTACAGTGGCTCACGCCTGTAATCCCAACACTTAGGGAGGACAAGGTAGAATTGCTTGAGCCCAGGAGTTCGAGACCAGCCTGGGCAACACAGTGAGCCCTCATTTCTAAAAAAATAAAATAAATTAGCCAGGTGTGGTGGCATGTGCTTGTAGTCCCAGCTACTTGGGAGGCTGAGGAGGGAGGATTGTTTGAGCTCTGGAGGTCGAGGCTGCAGTGAGCCATGATCATGCCACTGCACTCCAGTATGGGCGACAAAGTAAGAACCTAACTCAAAAAAAGAAAAAGAAGGGAAAAAAAATAGGTACCATTACTATTTTAGAGGAAGATATTGAGGCACAGGGGTTTAAGTAACTTGCCTAGGGGTACAGGAGTCAACTGCAAAGTCAACTTCTAGGCTCTGCCACCAACCAAGTCTCAGCACTCTGTGGTACCCCAGCCCTTGACCTTTGCTCATGCTTGTCCCTCTGCCTAAAAGCTCTTCCCCTTCACCTGGCAAATTCAGTCTCTCCAGGAAGTCCTCCTAACCACATCCCCAGGGAGTCAGCAGGTACTTCTCAGAACTCTCCACATTTATAATTCACCCTATCCACGCGCTGATGTGCTCAATCCCTGCACCAGCCAGGGAAAGCTGGAGGCCAGAGGCCAGGCCTGGCTGATGTATCGGGGTGTCCCCAGCTCCATACTCAGTGTCTGCAGCAACTGTGTCACCTGAGTAAATGATGGTGCACTCTGCCCATCCCTCCCATTCCTTTGGATGCCCCCTATTTGTTTGTTGAGTCAAAGTCCTATGACGTTGCCCAGGGTGGCATGCACAATCATGGCTCACTACAGACTCATCCCCCGGGGTTCAGGCAGTCCTTCTGAGTAGCTAGGACTACAGGTGAGTGCCACCACACCCATCTAACTTTTTTTTTTTCCTGTAAAGATGAGGTCTCCCTAAGTTGCCCATGTTGGTCTTGAACTCCTGGGCTCAACGATCCTCTCACCTTGCCTCCCAAAGTGCTGGGATTACAGGCATGAGCCACATACTTGGCTCTGACTCCCCCCACCACCACCACATTTAGAGACTCAAGTTAAAGGTCAGGAGGTTCCCCCACCCCAGTCTCAAGGGGTCCATGGGAGTTGCTTAGCGACCTCAGATCCTGTAGCCTGTCCAGGAATGGGGATGTTTGAGTATACTGAAAGAGCAAGCATCACGGACTCTAGGAAGTGCGGATTTCAACCCGTCTTACAGTGTGGGTTCCCCTTGTCATAATCAGCCTTGAATCCGGGCGCTGGCACAGTAGGGCCACCTAGCAAGTAAGTGGTCCGCACACCTCTCTCCCATCCTCCTTTCCCTCACAGCCCCTCAGACCTGTTGAAGAATCCCATAGCTCTCTAATCCTTTCAGATCCACCAACCCTGGCCTGGGGAACCACCGTGAGTGGTGCAGGAGACTGGAGTACAGGGCCGGGCTCGGAGGCTCAGCCTGTAATCCCAGCGCTTTGGGAGGCCGAGGTGAGTGGATGGCCTGAGCCCGTGGGTTCGAGACCCGCCTGGGCAACTTGGCGAGACCTCGTCTCTAAAATAAATTTTAAAAAACTAGCTGGGCGTGGTAGCGCGTGCCTGTAGTTCCAGCTACTTGGAAGGCTGAGGCGGAAGGATCGCCGGAGCCCAGCAAGTCGAGGCTGCGGTGGCCGGGAGCGGCCACTGCACTCCAGTCTGGGTGACAGAGTGAGACTCCAACTCAAAAAAAGAGACT